TTTTAATTTTTTTTTTTTTTTTTTTTTGGATATTTCAAGGAAATTTGAATGAAATCCACCCATTTATGACATAACTGTCTTAATTAGGCCCAAAGTTGAATTTATGGGACCAAGTCAAAGAGAGGCATATCATACAACCCATTCAAAAAAATGAAGATTGTCTTATGCTGCAAGACAATATTTCAAATGATGATGTTGTTACAAATGACGTGATGTTGTTACAAATGACGTGGAGACCAACAAAGACATTGTACAAGTATATGTTTCTACATGTCTATTGGAAAAAGAAAAGTGAAAGAAAGTGAAAAGGGAAAGGGCGTGAAGACATTTGATGTGTGTATAGAAACTAAAAAGAAAGAAGGTTATATTACTCGAGTTGGGGAGGAGAACACTCTTTTGTATACAAGAAGCAACACTCTCATTCACTTTTACATCTATGCATGACCTAAAGATAAAAGTGAAAATCTCGAGAAGATTAAGACCGCAAAAAGCAAATGATTTTAAATTTGCATTACAAGGAGGTCAATTGGATTTGAGGACAAATCCTCTTGAAGAAGGAGAGAATGATACAAATAAGGTGTCTAAATCATGCTACAAAAACTTTATGATGGATGAGAAAATCGTATCGTACATATTTGGATTTAGGGATGTTTCTTTATATTTTTCAATTTTAAAGTATTATTTTTTTAATATTTTAAGTTACAATTAGTTAGTAATCATTACGGGCATGGGAGTTACAACATTTCAATTGACCATAGTTTATTTTAGATTTATTTTTAAGGTTATAAATAGTCATTCATGTTGTTTTAGAACAAAAAATTTGAATAGTGAAGTAAAAGTTGCATATTATGTCTCTTACATACTAGTTGTGTTTAGATTTACATACTAGAGTCATTCAAGTAGTCTTCATCAAGTTATCTTGTGGAGTGATTCGAATCACAAGTTTAGGTACAAGTTTTCTTTACTCTTGATCTTGATAATCAAGGTAATCCATTTCTAAACTTTTTCCTAAGTTGATTCCTTATTGGTTTTTCAGCGTTTTGGATAATTTAGATCTCACCCTAAATCTCACCACAGTTAGACCAATATACTACCTTCTTAGGAACAATAAACTAGTTGTTACTTTGCCTTTTCAAGCTTGTCCATACCTAAATCCCATACATTCCTCCTCTAGGGAGTGCTCTAACTTCCTCGGAGTTCATAACTTAAGGATTTTTTGGTACTCTTAGCTCTATGTTTTACGTTTTAACCTACTAGCGCTAATTGCGCTTGGAGTTACTATGACCCCTAAGAAGACCTAGGATAATTCTCATAAGTATGGAGGAGCCTTTCATCTTAAAACGAGGTTCATACTCCACACATAACTATCTATTAGGCTCTAACCGAAAGGTTTTCACTGGTAGAGGCGAGCAGTAATTGTCTGTTTCTAAGATAATAAACTACTTGTTACTTTGCCTTTCTAGGCTGGAATAGTAAACTTCCTGCTCACACCCCTCTCGAATTAGAACAATATACTACCTATCTTAAGAATATTAAACATATCATAACATGTCATATTGCCTTTTTGAGGCTAGGACATTAAACTAACTGCTCACACCCCTCTTGGGTAAATTTCCCAACCGATACAACCGGAGCTACCTTAGTAGTATACCCTATATGCCAGGACCCTTTGTGGGTTGCAACTAAACTCTATGTATCAAATAAATCCCAACTCCTCTTAAGCTAGTTCACGAATAAAGGTTTCGCTCTAATCGTCCCTACGATATACCTAGTCAACTCAAATGTTTTGTGGGATCCAAATCTAAGTTTTAGAACCAATATAACGTAAAACAGCAGCTTACAGTCTAACACAATGATAGCATACATTCTAGAGCACATAGCATTCGTCCAATAGCATAAGTGGGCATATACGGGTTCTCAAACCCTCTATCATGCATCTAAGGTCAATAATACACATAAATCATGTTTAAATGCTCAAATAAGAGAAAATAAATCAACCAAAGGCATGTTAGAGTGCTCATATTAAAACTGTAAGTTTTTAAGCATACATTGTGGAAGTTGTAAAACTAAATAATGAGCTAAATCGTAAACATTCAAGTTTTCTAGGCTTAGCTATCATGAATCTAGGTTGATTAGGCTCCTAAACGCGATTTCTAATCATTTGTTCATGTTCCTAATCAATGCCTACAAGTATTTCTTAAAACTTGCTCCATATGGTCACTTACATGTCGGGTGTATTCGAGATCACTTTTCACAGGCTTCCTCAAGCTGAATTTTTCTCAAATTTCTTAGGTAAGTGCCAGATTGAGCTGGTTTCTAAAACGACAAGTAACTACTTGGATTTTCTTTCCATTAATCTAGCTGCAAATGTCAGCCCAATCTCCTATACCAGAGAATATACAAAGTCAATCTCTAATACCAGCCTTCTCCATCAATCCTATCAACCAATTCATTCCTCTTTCCAGCTTTTACCTTGTTGGCCTAGTAAGACAAATTTGCTTACTTCCTATTCCTAACCACATTTATAAGTGATCTCCAACAATTAGTCGACCTCTCTGTACTCTTCAACAATTATATGTAAAAGCCTTTCGTATCTCAAAGTGGAATCAACATTAACTTAGAGCATCTCCTTTATGAGGTCCTTCATTATAGAAACCACAAGACTTAAAAGTCGTAAATGTTTTAGGTGCAACATTAGGAAGGCCATATTAATCTGAATAAAGCGTACAAAATGGTAAGAGTTTCATACAGGCATAAGGCTTGATTATAAAACCTGAACAACTTTGGGTAGTAGAGGAGTACAGAGTTAGTCAGCCTCGAGTTCAGAGCCAAACTGCTCCAAACGAGCAGCATCGGCTTCAAGATCCCTCACCAAACCATGGTTCACTAAACCATCGTCCTCGCTTGCATGAATTTGTCTTCCACCAAACCTGTGCAAATCATTAACACTAAGCTACCTTCACAAAATATTCCCCAAAACAAGTCTGGTTTTAACTCAATAACATGAACATGTTTTAGAGCCACGTACGCAGCATAAGGTTATAGACTTAAGTGTTATTACAAAACATGGTAATAATTATGACAGACTTAAGTGTTAGAACTAATATACAAATTTATTACTAAGCATTCATAAATATAATAAATAAATAAATAAACAGAATTTTAAATTTATGATTAAGATCAAGCTTCTTAGAATCCAACATATCTAGCACAAAAGTTTGTACACAAAAAGAAACAATGATGGCTCTTACATACTACGAACAAAAAAGCATTATAAAAAAAAATAAAAAATGAAGAATAAGAATATGAATTGCGGTAATGAAGAATTTTTTGTGCATGTTTAATAACAGAAGAAAGTAAAATATTCTAGGTACTAAACACATACCCCAGCCAAGTATCTTATCTTCAACCTTTTTGAGTTTCTTTTTCTTCTTGTTGTCTACTTTTTTGGCTACAAATGTATCCCCTGCTTGTGGAAGTTCATCAAATGAAATAAAAGGTTAATAACGATGAACATGGTTGTCACAACATTGAAAACCAAAGAATTCTAGTTATGTGAAGAAAAAAAATGTAAAACATGTTAAAGCATGAATCACTAGGGAGTAAAACACTACCTTTTTGCTCAAACTTAGCTCGACTAACAGACATAATAATTTTTCCACCTGGTCCAAGAGGTGTGCCATCCAAAAAAAAAACTGAACTTCAATCAACGTGGAACATGGGGGATCATGGGCTGGTTTTAATTTCGACCACTATGTTTCACAGATCTACACATGCATATGTCATAGCTATACAATGCGACCCTATTTACAGTACAACCAAGTATTGAATTTGTCTATTCATGTAAGCATAGCCCGTCAAACAATAAATACCTCCTTGATTATTCCACATTTTGAAAAAACTTCCACAACCTGCAACATATAACAGAAAATTACAGCATCCAATGAAAACTATGCTCAAAATGCAACATACTTCATCAATAGTAACATCCTCTGGCAGCCCTGTTATGTAAACATGCGTACTTATTTTTAGTTCAAACCAACCATCAGAACATATTTGCTTCCTGCAGAAGCAGAAAGAAAAATAAAGTTAGAACAGCAAATAATTTTTCTAGAGTAGCCCTCATCTACTCTCATAAATAAATTACAGATGCAATGCAAGGAAAAACCTTTTTCTCAATTTGATTGTCACACAATTTTCTCCTCCCATTCTGTTTGGTTACAATCTCCTCACTTTTTCTGTTAGCTTCTTTTGTGACATGATCATATTCTTCCTTGATGGAGGTGGAAGGAACAGAATCACCTTCTCCTTTGATGGACGTGCAAGGAGCATCGGCTTCAAGCTGTGGAAAGACTTTTTCTTGCATGAAAGTCATGTCTTCAGGCCCATATTGCTCATGTTTAAAAAATGCATCATCCTGTTGCGAAGTCAGGTCATTCAAAATTATATCTAGTGTTTGATACTACTGAAGCATTGTATATATATGAGTGGATCATTTGGATCATTCAAAAATATTACAAGTCAGAGCTAAGTGAAGTCAAGCTTCTCAAATTCATTATTCTACACAATCCAAATAGTCACAGTCAAGTTTCCCATTCCAGACTACACAATTCCTAGTTCCCTAACTCCAAACTACACAAACCCAGCTCGCTGAACCCTTAAACCAAACACATCCCAGTAGCTTATTGGAATTTGTGAACAATATATATAATCAAGCACATAAGTTCAACAGTGACACAAACAAATTACTTGTTGAGGAAAGAAGCCTAGAAGAATATCCATAAAAGACACTTTCCGGATGAATAACATAACTTTAATTGAGGAAAAAAAATGAAAGAATAAAAGGGAAAGAAAACAAATAGAACCCACAAAAAAAGGAATCGAAGTATAATAGGGATGTCAATCAAGTAAAATGGGAATCAGGACTTAAAGGATAATTATAAAAAGCTTTCGTTAATGGAGCTCAAAGAGAAACATGGAACCTGGCGAGGGACCACACATCATTTGAAGTCCTCTAAAGATTATAACATTCCTCTCACCTTACCGGTCTCCAAATTTTAGGTTACCCAAACTATCAATAACACAAAAGAAAATGAACTTATGCTTCTTTTTGTCTTAATCAGGTTTATTTTTGTAAATAAATATAAGGTCTTCTTCCATGAATGCCGATTATTTGCCTTTAGCTCTTCAAGAACAAGGAAATCTTAAACATCCAAAGCTTCATGTTTTCCTTTTATATGTAAGAAGTCCATAAGGCAATAACATTGATATTTGTCAGAGGGAGCAAAATTATATAGGCAACCAAAAAGACTAAAAAGGGAAGAGCAATCCTTGGGAGAGAATGTCGTAGTCAAAGATGTGTTGTAGAGTCCATTTCACATCAAAGGCTAGTTTTCATCGGAAAACAAGATCCCAGTGAGAGAATACCATGAAGAAAAAATATTACTAAGAAAGGGTTCCAATTCAACCGAGATAAAGGAAAATCACAAAATTCTTCAATAACAGAGATCCAGAGGGAGGCATTGATGCCAACCAAGGCCCAAAACTTCTCTCATCACTTAAAACCTCCAATTTCTCTCAAACTAAATATTGTATAAGACCATAAAATCCCCCTATCCCAAAGGGAAAATGAAATGATCCATCTTCCATCATAGATCTACACAACTTGCTTCAAGCCAACTGCAATCCAAGGGCCTAAAAAAACTGTCCCAAACCACAACTACAAATTGGCATCCCCGCTAAACATGCTCCACATTCTCAAAGGCGCCCTTGCAAATGTTGAACCACTAAGATGTCGCAAGTACAAAACACAGTCGTTGGATAAGGTCAATAGTGTTAGCCCCCATAAGAGACCAGCCAATAAGATTCATCTACAACTCTTTTATGTGAGAAAGGGTTGTTTTTGTGGCAGGTTGGGGTCTGTTCTACCTTGTGGGGTCTTTGGAGTGCAAGAAATATATAAGAGCAGGAAGATCTTATAATAATATTTGATCTCTTTTTTTAATTACCATTTTATTGGCTGGAGGTTTCTTTTTTTTTTTTTTTTTTTTTTTTTTTTTTTTTTTTTTTTTTTTTTT